GGAACTTTTTTACTGTATTTAATATTAAAGTAAGAGCCTAATGTAGATATGGGATGTATAATTTATTAATATTTCAAACTAAAATTGGTATACATTATTATTTTATTACATACCATATTTTTTTAATTCTAAATTATTATAGAACATGACTGAAATTGAATTTTAAGGTTTTTTGGAGGAAAAAATTTTTAAGTAATCAATTTAAGTATTTTATTAATTAACAACTTACAGGTTAATCTAAATGTTAGGTTTGGCAGGTAATGTTGGGCAACTCTGTTTTGCTCACATATATAACTGTTTTAATCCTGCATCATAATGCCATCTTGAAGGTATTTTAAACATAAAGAATAAAACTATTAGCCATGCTCATTTGAATTAATGTGACCATTGAGCAGTATAGCCAAAAATATTTAATTAATGATGCATATAATGCAGGACATGGCTTATTTGTGAAGATTGTTGTTTTTAACTGCAAATGTAAGATGTACAGTACCTCTATTTTTGACAAGTAAAAATGGAAAAAGTACAGAATTAAGGAAATATGGTATTTTATTACATTAAATAAATGGTCTGAATAAAGGATTTTTTGTTTCAGTTAAATTCATCTTGCAATCCAACTGAAGCAAATGAGGAAATAAATAACCATCATTTAGCCACACCAAAGTTAAAATTAAATCTGTGTAATATTAATAATTCTTATAATGGAAAGATTAATCAAAGGTATTTAGTCATAATTTTCTGGTGGTTTTATAAAAAGATTATATTCTATTAATTTTTTTAAAATACTGTACTATAAATATTTATAGTATTTAAATAGTATAGTATAGTATAAAATATATTTACTTACAGCTTTTATATTTTGACATATTTTAATATAATTTTTAAAACCATTGCTTATTGAATTGCTTGAAATCTTAATTAGATGTCTATTAAATAGATAGATACAATTATTACTTTAACATTTTGTATGTAGTTATCTTTATCTTGTTATTCTATATTCAATATTAACATTTTATACTAGTTAGTTAATAGAAAATAATTTTTTTAGTAATATTTGAATTTGTTATAAAATGATGATGATGATTGTTTTATATTTATTTTGATCACTGTTTAAAAATTTTTTGCACTTTCTTTTTCTTTAATGTAAAATAATTTTACATTAGATATATAGTAAAGTTTTTTACTTTATCTTTTATAGATTCAAAATGTTGCTGTTATCATTTTGTCTCAAAGCTATTTCAATAGATTTCTCTATTCTTAGTACTTGTTTATTGCTAAAATTAATTTTAGAAAATAGGAGATTTAAGGGTTGAGACAATGAACACCACTCCCTAGACCAGACATGGCCAACATATGGCCCGTCTAATGAATTTATGTGGCCTGCTATTAATCTTTCAATATTAGCTATGCAAGTCCGAATAGCTCGGTGAAAAATTCTGACACCTAAAAAAAAAAATAAAAGGTCAACAACTCACTGTGCATTTAGAGTTAATGCTTCATTACAAATCTCTTAAGTAAGCGTAGAATGTTGATAATGCACGATAATGTGAAAAGCGTATTTGTAATCTCTATGTACAATTTAGTCTGTACGGGGTGACACCACAATGAGATCTCGCACTACCTCAAAATCTTTCTAAGGCAGCCTCTGGTTTGGCCTGTGAAAAAAGTTTTCGGCCCGGGGCAAAAACTGTTGGTCACCCCTGCCCTAGACACCAAATGTGAGATCCTGCTCACTTATAATCAGGATGGATTATTTTGTGGAGAAAAGAATTCTGAGAGATCATAAAATCTCCATTACATCAGGAACCTGACACCAGTTAGAATAGTTGGCTTTGTATCGCATTCTAATGTGTCATAAAATGAATGCCTTATTTTAAAATTAGTGTGAGTGGTATTATTTTAGAAGAGGGAGCTACTGATCCATAAAAGGAAGTAGGCTCTAAATGATGTCACAAAATCAAAATATATTTATTTACACAGAAATATAAAGAATATGTTACAATTCTACATCATAATCCATAATAATATATCAAATCAATATTTGACTAAATGAGAATACAAGGAATTGATTATTCAACTGAGTAAATGATCCTAATGCAAACTACAAAATATTTCAAGAGAGCTTACAATAAATCATATTCATTACCCATCCTTGTAATGATGGATGTGATTAGAGAACCTTTGAATGGGAAGTCTTCTCATATTATTCTTTCGTGATGGGATCGATGCACCAAAAATAAGGCAGGAACAACAAGGAATGTATTTACTTGGCTAGTGACATGTTATTCATGACAAAAAACATGGTAAAGAGATAATTTTCACCTTTTATACAAAATTAGTGGACCAATGAAGCTTGTCTAAGATTCTTTTCACATTCTGTTCCTATCGGAACTATTAAGTGTTACTTTCACTTTTAAAGGAACAATGTCACTTTTCTAATGATTCATAGGATGACAAAGAAAGATAAATTTTCTATTTTTTTACAACTTTAAAAATATCTAAAAAATCACTTTTTTAAAGTGATTTTTAGAAAATTTAGAATATTTTTAAAATATGAAAATGTTCACTAACAAACTCTTGGTTCTCACATCACTTCAGACTTTCTAAAAATTATGTGGATCATCATCTTGTAATTTTTCACAAAATTTGTAAATTTTACACACAACTTCTAATACTCTCTTTTACAAGATTAAAATTGTATTTATTAAAAAATAAAATTGCATGTGTACACGTGAAGAAACTTCTATCATAGAATTACAAAATTTGCTTCTTTTCTTGTTGATGAGTGATGCAATTGTTGTTTATCAAAGTCTGTAGGTCACTGATTTGTTTTCATCTTCACGGGGGAATTGATATGCTTTGCATTGGTGAAATTCATCTGGAATCACTGACTTCTAATGGCATCACAAACTGTTCCAAAAATTTGCAAAAATTCAAAGTTAATTTCAATTGTATGTAATTAAAAAGTTCATTTGCTTTTCACTCATCAGGCAACATTTTAATTGTTCACAAAAATTTACAAGCTCTCTTTTCCAAATTATTTTCCTGTAACTACCTTATCATCTAATCTACAGCTACTATTTTCTTATCTCTACTCGATCCATTGAATGACATGTATGAAGGTACGGATGTTCTCTTTTTACCCCCCTCCACTTTTCTGAATGTCTCATCAGTTTGAGCTTCTTGATATCTTGTTCTTTTGCTGAAGAAGGGGAAGAGTTCCAAATGTATTTTCTTGGACATTGGTAAATTCTTTTGATGTAATTCAATCATGAATTACTTGGATTTGTGATTATGTGCTTTTTTTGAATTTTGTTTTTCAATATTTTTGTGGTTTCATATCTTCTTGACTTTCTTTTTCTAGTTTTTCTACCTTGTGGTGATGTTTTGCTCTCTTTGATCTGAGACAACATTTTCTTTGTTGCTTCAATCTGACTAATGATATCTTCCTCATTATCTGGAGTTTGTTCTTGTTTGTCAACCTCATCTAAGTTGAACATATGTACAACTTTTCCATCAGGAAGGATTATCTGATTTTTCACCAGGTCGATTGTTAATCCTTTGCTGCCTATCATATCTCTACCTAATATTCCATTGTAATGCAATGTAATTTTTTAATCTGTTATGTAACAAGGGAAGGAAAATTGTAAACTTCCAATTTCAAATATGAGTTCTAAAATTCCATATGTTTGTATGGATGACTTGTTACGCTTTGAAACTGGAGCTCTCTATCAGAGTTTTTCTTTCTATTTTCTTTTAATTTGAGAGCAAAATCTTTGGTGAGAAATGTCACTTTAGATTTAGTGTCAATTGCAAAATTTACAGGTTCATCCTCTAGAATACATCTGTAAGTTTGCTGACCTGATGGAGATTGGAAACTTTTTATCCCACTCTCGGACACCAGTGTAAGTTCGCCGACTTCCGGGGGGGGAATCGTTAATCCCGCGTCAGAATGATCTAGGGTGAACGCATGTGGGTGTGGCGGAGGAGACACAGATGACAAGAATCTCACATAAATCTGTTTAATTTAACAGGAAATAACTTACACTATGCACAAAGTTCCTCAACCAATTAAATGTTCGTAAGTTTTAAACGTCGAGGATGTTTTTCTATCGTCACTCGGAGATGGGCCCTGGGCTGCAGCGGGTAAGGAGACTTGTCGGTAGGCGTCGGCGGCACGGCTCTCTCAATGGACACTGTGCGGACTCTTCGTCTTCTGTGCGTTGACACACAAAGAGTTTTCGCTTTGGACTTTTTTGGAGTGCAGGTACTCCGTAGCACAGTTTACGGAAGAAGTCCTTCTGTCCTTGAAGATCGGGGATTATATCAATCTCCGTTCTCTAATTTGTTTTCTGATTGGCTCCCTCGTCTGTTTCTAAGCGAAAAACGATTCCTTTTCGAGTCACGAGAAAGATTCGCCTNACTTATTATTATTTTAATATAAAATTTTTGCCACTAGGTGTCGATTCGTAAACAAACCTGGGAAATTTAAATTGGTGACGGATATTGTAACAGTTGTTTCATGTTTTGGGACGATTTCCGTTTTCAAAATGCATTGTTACCGACGAAGATGCAAAAGGAACATCAAACCTTTTCACAGTTTCAAGAGGAAGAAATCTGATAACAAATTGTTAGAGTTAATTACGTATAAAATTTACATATTGATTTTTTTAACATTAGTTTGATGAGAACGTTCTTAGGTTTTCATTGATTTTATGAAAATATTTGAATAAGATTTAAATTTATTATATAAGTTGATATATTTTAAGCTGATTTAATGTTCTAAATGTAAGTGGATAACGAAGCAAGAAACTATAGAGAAATAATGTTACAAAGTGGCCACAGTCTCTGTTTCCCTGAATTCTCTAGAGAGATTTTAATTTTTTTATGTTCTGGATGTCGTCTTTCTTAATAATTGATAACAAAATTTACATTTCTATTACTGGAAACATCTTCAGACCACCGAACTTCTTCAGCTTCTGGCAAAACGTAAAATGTAGTAATTGGTAAATGTTTTCGGAACAACCTGATTCCAACTTTGGGTTCGGAAAGTTTGTTTCGAATTGGAATGCATCAAATAGAATGCACCGTACACTGAGCAACTCTATGACCACGTCAGACTCTTAGAGTCCATTGAAATATTTAAAGCCATCCGCAATTCCGATTGTATTGACTCTAGGGACGAGATATGGCTATCCAAAGTGTGGTTTGCATAGTATGAAACATCGTTATGACGACCCAGGTAATGCGGTGTGGCTCGGCATATGTCTTATACTGGCCTATTGAAATTTGAATTCTACATGTGCATTCAAATTAGAAATGAACTTTGAACCTGAAACTGAAATTGGGTGTATTCCAAAAACATTTGAATTGCTACATTTTGCATGTTTTGCTGGAAGCTGAAGAGGTTTAGTGGTCTGAAGATAACAATTGATATACAAATCAACACTTGTTTTCAGTCCAATTTAATGTATTCATTCAATTTAATTGCTGGATTGATGTAAGGTGTTCATTTGCTTATTTTATTTTCCTCCAGTTTCTACTGCTACTTACATTGTTAACAATTGGAAGTCATTAAAGCTATATATATATAGATTTAATGACTTCCAAATCCTTTGGAAATACTTTTTAGTCTTCAGTTATTATAAGATAGAATTGAAAAGCATTTTTTTTTTCAATGGCTCAAAGCAAATTATCAATGTTAAGTGTAAGAAGAAATCACACCATACTTGTTGCTGTCTGTCATATTGTACCTTAATAAAAATAAAAAAATTAATGAAAGTCACAATTTCATGCATAGTACTTTTGTGGTCATTCTGTATCAAATTTTAGTTTGGAGATAGATTATTTAGTCTTAGAAGTGTTATAATAGAGTAAAAGTTTGGGTTTTTGCAAATAAATTGAATTCTCAATAGTAAAGATGCATTTTATAACTCTTAAATTTTCTTTAATCAGTTTAAAGTTGCAAAACTAGAAACATCTCCAAGAAAGTCATTTGAATTATATATTGATATAATTGAAGTTAAGAGAATTATTTCATATATGGTGTAATACTCTGAAGAAACACCAAATAAACAGATTCCATAAAAGTATATTGTTACCAAAAGAGTTTTCTTAACTATTTGCATTTATTTCATCACATTTTGGTTCTAGGCTTATAGCTCAGAAAAATCATTTACTGACTAAGATGCAGAAGAAACATCAAATTTTTTCACAGTTTCAAGAGGAAGAAATCTGATAACAAATTGCTAATTATGTATAAAATTTACATATTGATTTTTTTTACATTAGTTTGAAATGAGAATGTTCTTAGATTTTCATTACATTTGACATCAATCATGCAAATCCAAAGCATCACAATATAATTTGCTTTACATAATAATAAAATAAAATTCTTTGTTTTATTAGGCTGCAATTTTAAAAAATTGTAGACCTCTAAATTCTCACTGTCGTCTGTTCATCTGTCTTTTCTTAATCCTGAGAATGGAGTTACAGATGAAATTTGAGACCAGATGTGGAAACCTTAGGGGCAGGAGGCCCGATTAACTATATATGAACTTCCAATGTGAACCGGATGTCACGTTATTTCAACTGAAAATTTTTCCCTCAAAAGCAGTTAATAGATTACCAGCACAATGCTATTGCTAAAGGGAAAGTATGATGTATATTGGGGCAAGACACTACAGTACTAATTTGAAGTTGAGAGCATATGTTTTAAATTAATTAAAAATATGATTAAAAATTGCAGTTTGACATTGTGACAATGTTACAATAAATAATTGCTCGTTTTTATTTTACTTTTTTTTGTAAAAAAATTAATATTGCATATACACCTCTATTTCCTATAATCTAGATAACCAGTATCCAGACAAAACTGCTTATTGTTGGAAATTTCTGACAATAAGTATGTGTGTGGGGAAAAAAGCTGACCAAAAAATATTTTTGCTGCAGACCAAAAATTCCATTTGGGGCAGATCACTCCTTGGCTATGCTAAAATGATCATCTGGATTATATCTGGCTATGATACAGCTGCTATTTAATAATTAAATATTCAGTAATTTTGCTTAGATGTAGGCATTAGGTGCCATTATAGCCATATTATAGCCTGATATAATCTGGCAGATTGTTTGGTCTTAATCAGAAATTGAGTTAATAGATGTTTATATTTTTGTATATATATCTAGCTATTTCTGATATTAAACTGACTCTGGAGACAGTTTAATGTGCCGATAGGCTTATTCAAGATGACAGGTGATTAACAACCAAACAACTTGCACTCAACTGGCATCTCTCTGAGTAGTGCCAACATAGGTTATTCAAAGGTTTGTGCCAAGTCCTGAGATGTCGAGAGAGACCAGCTGAGTTGTACTGAACTGGCATACAGGCTCTGGCATCTAGGTGATGTAAGGCCATAGATTTAAATGGAGACTATGTGAAATAAGGGTACTTGTAGCCAATTAATTAGGGGATAATGTAGTATATTTGGATTTGTAAAAAAAAAAAAATAAATCTTGAGTAAGAAAAAGACCTATGTGCATTACTTATTGAACATCCTAGTATTTTAAAAATGTTATATTGTTTAATAATTTAAATAGGTAATTCAAAATTTAATAAATTTATATTTAAAGATATACAAAATTAAAAGTACTATGTTAAATAACTAAATTTGTTTTGTTATGAATTTATATTAGGTTTCTAAAAGATGAAGATGCACAACTACAGAATTCTCAAGAATCAAGAATTGTTAATTATAACTTTTGGAATTGTGTGAAAGCAAGATTTATTTTATTTTTAGGATATCCGTTATGCTTATTAAAGGTAATAAATAATTTAACATATTAAAATTAATGAATACAGTAGAGCATTGATTATCTGACCCCCGATTAACCATCATGTCGGTTAACCGACTGTTCTAGTCGGCAAATTTCAAATGTTTACTAGTGATGNCGTTTTAATAAATTTCTAATAATAAATATTTAATTTCAACTCATTTTTGGGGCTTCACAGTGCTCCCCGCCATTTTAAAATGTGGCTCCGAGGTTAGCGACATTTTACCTGTCAGCTCTGGAAGCTGTCAATCCATGCTTCTGTTTTTACGGAAGTGACATAATATCAACAATGGTCTACAGTTTCGTTGTTCTTTCGCGTGTGTCTGATCTCGCATTACATCGAAATGTTTTCTTTTTCAACAGATCATTTGATCAAACAAAATTTCAATTGATTGATGAGTTCATGTAACATCTCTTGACTTCTGTCAAGATACGGATTCATTTGACAACATAAAATTTTCTCATTTGGAGATTGAGCTATCCATATCACTCCCTATGATTTCAATTTTCTTTCAAAAAGGCCGAAAAGGGGTTTGTCTGGGCTGTCTGTCACTCAGAAAATGAGAGTTTTTTTTTCTTTGCTTGCTACTTCCGGGACACATGGACGTGTTGACTTTATGTCCAATGGTCACGTTCCTTTTGTAATGCGTCTGTCTTTCTCTCAAGGTTTTCAGTTTCCAACAGAATCTTGTCGAGTACCTTGGAGTGTTCTCCATTTTGTATGGGACGGGAATGAAAAGATGTCTGCATGAATGGTGGGTATCTGACAACCTCGTCATCCTCTGCAGGCAGCGCTTTTTCTGGGTGTCTGTCTCTTGAACGTTTGACAGTTTCTGCTATCGGTTTCCGATGCATATTACCGCAAATCAAGGTCACGTAGTTCTCAGGGGACATTTTCCTCGATTCTGTGGAATGTTTGATGCTTGGTTTCGATTGACGACTTCGTCATTTTTTCCGAATATCGGCATGTTCGATCGAGTCGGGTGATTTGATTGTTACTTTTCCTTGTGACAGAAGATCGTCTCGTGCGTTTGAAAAAGGAGGGACAATTTTCCTCATATTTGGACTGTATGAATTGCTCAATCTATGACAGATTTCACTTGATTGTTTCTCGCGACAATGTTTTTATAGCTGAAGTTTTGTCTCTGACTCGCGACAATTTTTGGCTTCGTATAACGCATGTGAGAATCTGGATTTCACATTTCATTCGTACTACGAAATACAATTCCTTTTCTTAACAAAGTTACAAAATTCAAGTCTTCGTTTGTGACACATGTCATCAACAAGAACGAAATTTTTTTTTTCACAAGATTTACCTTCATTATCGATCAAAAAGAGTTCACATTACTAAAGTTCTGATTTCGCGACAATTTGTTTAAATGCGCACGCGTATTTACAATGGACCTCTCTCCATTTGGAAGATGATATCNTCCAAATATTCAATTGGATTAAATGTATAATAATGTTTAATAAATTATAAATATCTTAATTTAGTAATGAAATACTTTTTTCTTTTAGTTTATAATATCAATTCCTATGAGATTAAAGTTGACAATGGATAGTTCCTTAAGAAAAGAAATTGATGATATGAAGAATAGAATATCATATTTGGAGATAACAATTGAAAAACTTCAAAGAGAGTCATTACAGCATATCAATAATAATGTGACAGTTGCTATGCAACAATGTTGTAACTATTATCATAGTTCATCATCAGATGTTCAAAGTATGCCAGCACCTCCTCCCCCTCCACCGCCGCCACCACCACCACCACCACCACCTATGCTGCCTCCAACATCATTTCAATTGCCACCTTATATGTCAACTCCAATTTCAAAGAAAAAGGATGAAGAAAAGAAAGATAAAAAAGATTTAAAGTTTGCAAAATTACATGCGGTGACTCTTGAAGAATTGAAAAGTGTAAAATTAAGAAAGACAGGCTCATTTCTGAAGGTAAAGACACTTAAAAGTTATTTTGTTAATTATAATTAGTTTGAATCAATTTTAAATTATTTTAAACATTTTTTAATTTTTATAATAAGAAATTAATGCCATAATATCAAGAAATATTTCTTATCATGTTTGTAATCAGCATTAAATAAACAAAACATTGATATACATTTACAGTTGTAGGAAAAATATTTTTATTTAATTATTTACAAATAGCCAAATGATGATGATGTAAATTCAGTTTTTTAAATGTTAGCATTCTGTCTTTAAAACTTTTTAATCTGTTGTAATCTGAAGAAGCATTACAGTTTAAAAGCAACACTAATCATATTTTAACCATTTATGATGATCATGATTCAGGTATTTATAGCTCACATTTAGAAAGAATTATTTTAATTAATGCAATAGTTAAATTTTGAAAGTTTCCTGAAAATATTTGCAAAATCTAAATATTATATTTTGTCTTTTTATCAGGAGGCTTGATTTTCTTTTGATCAGAGTATTAATTTTTCATGTAAATGTGCTTATATGCCTTTCTGAAAGATTCTGTAATATTGCTAGAGAGAGAGAGTATAAATATATATATAAATATTTTTTATTTAAACCAATGTTTAATTTGATTATTTAGATTAGGAAATTCTTATAAAATAGTCAAAAACATGAATCCAATATAAATTTTAAAAACAATAAAAAGGTACAATAATATATTACATTTTTTAACATGTTTGTTGTTTTCTTTAAAAATTAAGAATTTATTAGTTTGGTTTTTTGTTCAATATATAGGCATTATTAATCTTGTTATGTTATTAAATTGTTTTTAAAGATAAAATGTATTTTAAAAAATTTAAGATAAAATTTTTAAATAGTACACTTGGACTTTAAATAATACACTTGGTTTAGTTGTGTTAATATTGGGAAGATAATATTTGTATAATGTTCTCTAATGTAGATATGGGATGTATAATTTATTAATATTTCAAACTAAAATTGGTATACATTATTATTTTATTACATACCATATTTTTTTAATTCTAAATTATTATAGAACATGACTGAAATTGAATTTTAAGGTTTTTTGGAGGAAAAAATTTTTAAGTAATCAATTTAAGTATTTTATTAATTAACAACTTACAGGTTAATCTAAATGTTAGGTTTGGCAGGTAATGTTGGGCAACTCTGTTTTGCTCACATATATAACTGTTTTAATCCTGCATCATAATGCCATCTTGAAGGTATTTTAAACATAAAGAATAAAACTATTAGCCATGCTCATTTGAATTAATGTGACCATTGAGCAGTATAGCCAAAAATATTTAATTAATGATGCATATAATGCAGGACATGGCTTATTTGTGAAGATTGTTGTTTTTAACTGCAAATGTAAGATGTACAGTACCTCTATTTTTGACAAGTAAAAATGGAAAAAGTACAGAATTAAGGAAATATGGTATTTTATTACATTAAATAAATGGTCTGAATAAAGGATTTTTTGTTTCAGTTAAATTCATCTTGCAATCCAACTGAAGCAAATGAGGAAATAAATAACCATCATTTAGCCACACCAAAGTTAAAATTAAATCTGTGTAATATTAATAATTCTTATAATGGAAAGATTAATCAAAGGTATTTAGTCATAATTTTCTGGTGGTTTTATAAAAAGATTATATTCTATTAATTTTTTTAAAATACTGTACTATAAATATTTATAGTATTTAAATAGTATAGTATAGTATAAAATATATTTACTTACAGCTTTTATATTTTGACATATTTTAATATAATTTTTAAAACCATTGCTTATTGAATTGCTTGAAATCTTAATTAGATGTCTATTAAATAGATAGATACAATTATTACTTTAACATTTTGTATGTAGTTATCTTTATCTTGTTATTCTATATTCAATATTAACATTTTATACTAGTTAGTTAATAGAAAATAATTTTTTTAGTAATATTTGAATTTGTTATAAAATGATGATGATGATTGTTTTATATTTATTTTGATCACTGTTTAAAAATTTTTTGCACTTTCTTTTTCTTTAATGTAAAATAATTTTACATTAGATATATAGTAAAGTTTTTTACTTTATCTTTTATAGATTCAAAATGTTGCTGTTATCATTTTGTCTCAAAGCTATTTCAATAGATTTCTCTATTCTTAGTACTTGTTTATTGCTAAAATTAATTTTAGAAAATAGGAGATTTAAGGGTTGAGACAATGAACACCACTCCCTAGACCAGACATGGCCAACATATGGCCCGTCTAATGAATTTATGTGGCCTGCTATTAATCTTTCAATATTAGCTATGCAAGTCCGAATAGCTCGNTCTGCATCAACGTAATGTGTTAGAATGTCGATCAATGTTTTGTTCAATCGCTCAACCATTCCGTTACATTGGGGGTGATAAGCTGTAGTTAGGAGCCTTTCTACGTGTAGCAATTCGCAAACCTCCTTCGTGACTTTGGAGACAAAATTGGATCCTCTATCTGTGAGTAATTGCTTTGGAACTGAATGTCTAAGAATAACTTGTGTGACAAACGCCTTCGCCACGGTTTTTGCGGTGATATCAGGCAACGGGATGGCTTCTGCCCATCTAGAAAAATGATCAATAAAGACCAATAGATACTTGTTGCCGTTATTAGTAATAGGAAGGGGACCCTGGATGTCCAGTGCAGTGCGTTCGAACAGTCTCGATACTTTTGGGAACGTCTGCAGTGGGGCTTGATGTCCGTGTTGGGGCCTTTTTCTCATTGCACATTCCTGGCAACTATCACAGTAATGTGTAATATTTTTGTTCATCTCGGGCCAAAAGAATTGTGTCTGCAATTTTTTTCGCATCTTTTTCGCACCTACATGTCCCGAGCTGGGAATGTCATGAAACAATTTTAAAACATAGTCTACCATGATTTTGGGTATAACTATTCTATCCCATTTTTCGTTTCTCTCAGGATTTTCCTTTCGGTGATAAAGGGTTTCGTCTGCGTCTAGGTAATAATTTGTGATGTCTAAATTTGTTCCCTGGGAGAAAGATTCTCCCATTAGTTGTTGTCTGATCTGACTACAAAAGGGGTCCTTTAACTGTTGTTTTTTATTTGCGCTTTACTGTATATGGGTTGCATTTCTCCAACCTTTCCTACAGGCATCCGACTTAGCGCATCTGCATTTGTATGAGCTTTCCCTAGTTTATGAATTATTTCGAATTGATACTCCTGTAATGCCAAATTCCATCGACTCAGTCTGGAACTTTCGTCCTTAACATTTATAAGCCATCTAAGGGGTCTACGATCTGTGATAATGGTAAACTTTCTCTTATAAAGATAGGGTCTAAAATGTTTAATTGACCAAATCACAGCCAAACATTCCTTTTCTGTGGTGCTATAATTTTTCTCTGCCGGTTTTAACAATCTGCTCGCGTATGCCACTGGGAGCTCTCCACGCTCGTCTTTTTGTGACAACACGGCACCTATCGCGGTGTTGGAAGCATCTGTTGCTAATATAAAAGGGCTGTTAAAATCTGGGGATCTAAGCAAGGGTGCTGTAATCAAGATTTCCTTTAATCTCTCGAATGCGGCTTCGTGTTCCTCAGTCTAGTGGAACTTTACGTCATTCTTTAACAAATCTGAAAGGGGTTTAGAAATTTTCGCATATTGGGATATATGACGTCTATAATACCCTGTCAATCCCAAGAAAGTTCTCACATCCCTCTCATTCTGGGGTCGAGGAAAATTCTTAACGCATTCTATTTTCGATGGATCGGGTCGGATTCCATATTCCCGACACTTCGTGCCCTAAAAACTTTATTTGTCGTTTCAAGAAACTACATTTTTTTGGTTTAAGTTTTATCCTGGCACTTGATAGACGTTGAAAGACCAATTCTAAGTGCTCTAAGTGTGATTTGACGTCAGAACTAAACACTAGAATGTCATCCATATAAACTAGACAAATTTTGTGTTTTAAACCCGTTAGTATCAAATCTGCCAGGCGTTGGAATGTTGCGCTTGCGGAGCAAAGTCCCATAGCCATTCGGTTGTAATGGTAATGCCCCGACGGGGGTACTGAATCCGGTCTTTTCTTTTGAATCTGGGTCCAGTGGTAACTGCCAATATCCACTCAAAGTGTCCATCGTGGAAAAATATCTTGCCTTTCCTAGCAAACTTAATGACTCTTGAACAAGGGGCAAAGGATAAGGATCTATTTTTGTGATTTTATTCAATTGACGGTAATCTACAACCAATCTGTAGTCTTGGGGCTTCTTAGCGACCAATAATGCCGGTGCTGACCATGGGGAGGTAGACGGTTCAACCACCCCACTCTTTATCATATTTTCTACTAAATCGTCCATTATTTCTCTTTGTGCATAGGGAATTCTATATGGGGCTCGACAAATAGGAGGGCTATTCCCAGTATCTATCTTGTGTTCTATCAAGTCACAATAACCTAAATCAAAATCATCTTTTGCAAACACGTGTTTATATTTATATAGTAGGTCTAACAAAGATGTTAATTTACCCTTTCCTACTTCACTAAAATCAAATAAATTTGCAAATTGAGCTCTGGTTAAATCGTTTTCGTTTGATCGCGTTGTTTTATTTTTTTCTGCGTCTTCCTTTGTTTCCTCTTCCGCTAAGAAGAAATTTCCTATCTTACTTCCCTTGTTTATTTTAATTGGTTGTGTTTTTACGTTCATTATTCTAACAAGTACTTTACCACGCTCTTGTGTTTTGACTAACGTATGAGCAATAAACACACCCTCTCGCTGGGGATGTGTCGGTTCAACTACTCCTAATTGTTGAGTCATCGAGGAGTGGACTTTCCCTTCTACTATGATCTCTGATCGCGGAGGAATGACGCAATCGTCTACTAACGTCACTTCCTTTGAGGTGTTCTTTCTCTGCTCTAGGTTATTAACCGTTATTTGTTTTTGTGTTTCCCGTTTTAAATTTCGCTTGTTCTTTTGCATGCGTTTGTTTTTCTTTTTCATTTCCGTGTTTTTTCTAACGTTATTGTCTTTATTGCTATCTAAATTTTTATCGTTTTTGGAAGATTCACGTGTCTTTGAGCTAGCTTGCTGGCGATTAACTTCGATGCTTTCCCGTGGATCGGGACTGTCGTCGGTTTCTTTTATTTCGGCTAACCCCCAAAAGGTCCCGTATCTCCTGAGGGGAAGCTAAGCTTCGCGTTCTTAATCGAGATTGTAACGTCATATTTTTCGAGAACATCTCTATCTAAGATTCCTTCATTAGTCTTAGTAATCTCGGGGTGCACTAAATAACAATCGTGGAAGAAAATTAAACGCCCGATTCGGAACTTTAACCTAAACTTCCCGAATGTCTCGATAACATGACCCGTAACGCTAATTAACTCTACTGCTCTACTTTCAGCGTGTGGCAATTGTGTTATATCAGGAAATAGAGCTCGCGAAATCAAAGTAACAGCTGCGCCTGTGTCTATGGTCAGCTGAACCTGTCTATTTTCTATCTCGCAAACCATTGTACAAGGAGGCAATTCTTTACTTCTTGAGTTATTGATTCCTGCTAATTGGGTTGCATTCGGGCCTATCGGCAATCGATTTGTTTCGAAATTTTGTTCTCTAAACGTTACAGATGTAACTCTGTCCAAGTCTCGCATTTGTTTTTGGTCTACGGATCTATCTTCCGGTGCGGGCAATGCTAAAAATCTAGGGGCGGCTACGTTGTTCGACGCGCGCTCTGTATCGAAGCCACTTCCGGACCAACCCGGACCACAATGTGGGGAATAAAAGGGCAACGGAACACCTTGTCCGCTGTTTTCGCATGGAAATTGCCTAAATTGTATAGGGGAAGAAGGCATCGGTTCGGCCTGACTCACTCCAAAGGGGCCCGGCAGTCCTCTAATGGGGTTTTGCCATTCAGGTGCGTCTCGACTCGTTTCCCACCTTCTGTGGAATTGAGAAGGNGCATTGAATAGACTAGTGACTAGTATAATGTTATTTGTTTAATTATTGTACAATATAACGAATAAAATATCTAATTATTCTTAATATAATGTTTTACTATATTGCCCAGAAAATTCTTTTTTGCCCCCCAAAATATAAATTGTTACTAATCGCCCCCTCAACATGGAAAAACGCCCACATGGGGGCGATATCGCCCCGTTGAGAAACAGTGATCTAAAGTAACAATAAATACTATAAATTCTAGAAATATACAATAAGAATCAAAAGCTAAATACATTAGCAAAAAGTAGATATAATTTTAATCATTTTTATTATATAAAATATTCAAAGTCTTACTGTGATTTTTTCAGTAGCCTTTAAATGATTTTCATACCAAATATTTTGTTTCTGATTCTCAAATTTTAAATCATTTTTTAAATGGTCTACATTCTTTGTAAATGAATTCTGAAATGTATTTAAAACATTACATATGTCATCCGATCTTTTTTTATGGATTTCAACAAGAGTATCTGTAAAATTATAATAAATATATTTTAAAGATTTGATATATATGTATATAAAACATATTATATATTATGCCAAAACTATAAATAACTTGCCAAAATTTTTTTCTAAATCATTATATGAAGATCTATGTTTTTGATCCATTTCTTCAACGCAAGTTTTCAATAAATTAATTTTTTTTAAAATACCATCTTTCATGTCTTGTAAAATAATGGTATTTTCNTTTCAACTGCTTTTTATTTTATAAAATCTGTCTTCTTGCGCCACCAGAGGGCCTTTTAAACAATAGGTAGTCTGTTAGCGTTGGTCAGTAGTAGTCCAAATTCAATATGAACGTTTGTTTCTTGAAAATTTGATCACGATTTAAATACAGTATTTACTTTTAATATTGCCGATATGTCATCGAAAAGAAAACGTGTTGTATTATCATTAAAAGACAAATTAAAGTATTTGTTTCGATTATCAGGATTTTCCCTTATCCGGACTACCTTCATCCCCAATTAGTCCGGATAATCGAGGTTCTACTGTAATAGCATTGTAATTGTAGAGATCCCAAAGTCTCAACCTGGATTGGATGCCATTCTAAGACTGTTATTCTGATATTCTCCCACTTCTACAAAGGATTTTTAATAACAGATATCGGCATTAATCCTCTTTCTCAGAAGAAAACATATCTCGCCGAGTTTCTTGGTGTTCTTCATTCAAGAGTTCTTGGCATTCTTCTGTCGTCAGATCCGTTTCAGGTTCCATTACGAACTCTTCAATGTTCTTTATTTCTCAGATGTGATTTTTGTTACTGCTTTAGCTGCTGGAGTCTTTTTATTATACAGCATTTTTCTTAAATAAGATTGAACTGAGGCCTGTAGACCTGTTTATGCCCTACTGCCCAGCAACATTAGGTATCTTCTGTCCACTCTCTACCTTTGCTATTATACTCTCATTTTTCGAAAAGAAAAACATACGCAAAACTTAACGAGTGCCTACCTGACAGTCTCGCAAATACACAAAAGAAGTGTTTTGTCAGAAAAATAGAAGGCTGGAATTACAAGGGAGAATTTCAAAGTTCAGAGGAATACTATCTGATCGGTATATACTGGCTTAGCGTCGATGTTGACGTCTCCCACACATTGAAAAGTTTCGAATTGTTGCCCGAAGACGAAGGAAGACCAATCGGTATTCATTATTTTACGTCACTTCTTCTTGTGCTTGTTCTGTGGGGTGTTCGTTATCCAATCATGTGTTCATTGTCCTAACATAAAAATCTTTCACGAAAGTGTTCGTTATCCGATCTGTTCGTTAACCGATCACCCACTGTATTTAACAAATATATCAGGTTTATTGAACTAGTTTAGAAAATCTGAATCTCATCCAGAAAAATCAGTCTTAAATCTGTAAACCACATATCAAATCACAAAACATATTGTATTAAAATTAGTTTTGGTCAGAAAGTTCAGAATATAGATAAATATTTATTAAATAAAAACTAAAATTTGAAATAATAAACTAATAGCTTATTATTATTCATATATATATTTTAAATATTTTTACTTTTGATGCTTGATTTTTTAATTTGGTTTCTGTTCTCTTACGATGTGACACTAATTGCTTCACAGCTTCAAATTCATGTTGAGATTTTTGTAATTTCTGTTAAATATTATATAATTTTTAATACCAGAAATAAATTGTGTGATCATTTTATTAAGGAAAAATAAAGACACTTACATTTTGTACAGAGCTTAATTTTTTCTATCTTTTTTTAACTGCACTATTACTTTTTCTAAGTATGTTTTACATTTATCGAGTTCAATCTTTTTTTCCGAAAGTTCATTTTTTGTATTTGTAGCTTGAAAGCTCACCTGTTAAAAATTTTAAATCAATAAATTAAATTTTATGTTGAATATAATTTATCTTGATGTCATAATATAAGATTACTTCTTCCAACTTTTCCTGTAGTTTTTCTACTTCATTTGTTTTTTCATTGAAAGTTTTTCTTGTACTACTTAATTCATTTTCTAATGAACTAATATGAAAAAAAATTTAAGTTTATTTCATAGCATTTAAAGTAATTATATTACAGGATCATTATATCTTACAAACTGTTATAAATAAATTTTATGTTTTAATTAACTTTAATTACATTCTTTTTAAATTAAAAGAACATATGAAAGTTAAAAAATGCATTTATACAGGATACATAGTAAAGTCCTTATATATCCATGTAACTGACAAATAGTTACAGTTATGAATGTGATATATAGTTATAGTAAAAGTATATATATAGTATAGTATGACTACACACTATAAGACTTAGCCACTCGCATCACCCCTAGTGGTAAAATTCAGAAGTTAGCAGTCCTATTTAAAAAATAATGTATCATATTGAAAAAAGTCAATTACAAACTTGTAGAACATGATCAATTTAGTATTAAAGGAAACTCTGTGCATGAATAGCACGAACAGAAAGTATGAAATCCTGATGCGCATTTCAAGCACAGACAGTGAAATGTAAGTAGTATATATATGAGAGACTCTGGGATAATTTGGTTAACTTCGCGAGGTTTATAACTTTTATCCCAGAAACTCTCACGATTTTGAGGGAAAGACGTCGAGCAGGGGCTAAAATCGTGCAAAATCGCAGAATCTCTCCACCGATTCCGAGATAATTACCATCCCAGAAACTCTCATAGGAGTCGAAACCACACCCATTTTCGATGCCCCTTCGGTTATACTTCTCCGCGAGATTTGAACGAGAGTTTCTGGAATAAATCG